AGTTGCCCAGGCGGGTCTCAAACCCACGGGCTCAAGCAATTCACTCACCTCGGCCTCTCAAAGCATGGGATTACAGGCTGAGCCACTGAGCCCAGCTTCTTTATTTCTTTTTTTGAGTTGAGGTCTCTGTCACCCATGCTGGAGTGCCTTGACCTGCTGGGCTCAGGCAATCCTTCCACTTCAGCCTTCCAAGTAGCTGGAACTATAGGTGTGCACCACCACTCCTGGCTAAGTTTTTGATTTATTGTAGAGATGAAGTCTTGCCAAGTTGCCCAGGCTGGTCTCGAACCCGTGGGCTCAGGCGATCCTCTCACCTCTGCCTCCCAAAGTGCTAGGATTACAGATGTGAATCACTGCACCCGACCTAGGTAGGCTCGTTCTTATGTTGAACTCAACTTGGTCCCCCAGTTGATCTCCCTGGTCTCCCTGGTCCTCACTATATTCTCTTATCAAGACTCTTGTATTTGCTGTCAGACTTTAGGGCCTAACCCAAGTCCTTCTGGGCCTGAGGCTTGTGGAGACGTGCTTATTTATGTGGATGGTTTCCCGTGGCCCGCCTTCAGGAGGCTCACCCTTCCCTGCCATCTTTCATCTGCGATCCTCTCCCAGGTGAGACTGGCCGCTATTCAGCTTTGAGAGGCTGCTTCTGGGAGGAAAAGTGGAATTTGAAAATGAAGGCTAGATTGTGTTTACTTCATTTGCCAAATTACTTTATCAGCAGCTTGAAGGGAAACAGAAGCCCTTGGGTGGAAGAAAGTTTTTGTGCTCCTTTGAAAACAGCCACTTGGCTCCCTGCCGGGTCATGTCTCTACTACCTAGGAGCAAGGTGGCAATTCAGGTTTGGGAACAGGTATTTCAAGGGATGTGTCTGTGCCTGCTGATGCTTCTTGAGACACAGTGACAGGAGATACGACTCTTCATGGGTTTTAGAATCAGGAAGTGTTGCAGACGGGTGCCTTTTAGGTTGAGGGGTTAGAGGCAGCCAGTAAAGCCAGAGGACTTTGCAGTCTCCTGGTGGGTTTGGGGAGCCAGTGTTTAACAGGGGGCCTTTGTGAGCCTAGGATAGTGGAAAGAGATCAAAAGGCAGTGGTATGCGGGGAACACAGGAATCGACTATGGTTGTGGGTAAACCTCTACTCTTGTTGGGCCTCACCTTTCTTGTTGGGCCTGGTGTGATGATACATAACTTGCCCTACCAGATATTTGGGAAGATTAAATGGAGAAGCCCAGGGACCTAGCTTGTGTCCCTTTTCTCAAAGAGTCTCTGAACTGGAAGTGCTGCCATTAGCGAGCTAGTTACGTTTGATCAAAAATGATCAAATTTTACAATTTCATTATTAAGGAGATGTTACTCTGGTTCATCTCTTTTCTTGGTGTATGAGTCTTTAAAAAAAAAATTCCAGCCGGCTCAGTGGCTCAGCCTGTTATTCCAGCACTTTGGGAGGCTGAGGCAAGTGGATTGCCTGAGTCCGCGAGTTCAAGACCAACTTGACGAGACCTCATCTCTACAATAAATCAAAAATTAGCTGGGCGTGGTAGCATGTGCCTGTAGTTCTAGCTACTTGGAAGGCTGAGGCGGAAGGATCTCCGGAGCCCAGCAGGTCAAGGCTGGGGTGGCTGTGAGTGTGCCACTGCACTCCAGCCTGGGCAACGGAGTGAGACTCAACTCAAAAAAAAAAAAAATTCTAGCCTGGGCAACTTGGTGAGGCCTCATCTCTATAGTAAATCAAAAAAGTAGCCAGGCGTAATAGTGTGTGCCTGTAGTTCCAGCTACTTGGATCGCCTGAGTCCAGCAGGTCGAGGCTGCAGTGGCTGTGAGCGTGCCACCTCACTCCAGCCTGGGCAACAGAGTGTATTCTAGTAACATCCTATAGCCTGGAACGTTGACTTCCTTATGTGTGACACTGGGATAAAGATATCTGCCCTGCTCACCTCAGTGGCTAGTTGAAGGATCAGAGAAGATGGTGAATGAGAGCATAGTTTAAACTTCGTGGAGTACAGGAGACTGTGGTAATGATGCAGTGACTGAAAAACCTTTTTGGCAAAAAAGGCAGTATCTGTATTAGGGAAAGGAGTCTGGGGAGCTGCCTTCTAGGTCTGATCACATTTCTTGTTGACTTTTAGAAATTACCTTGGTATCTTACACTTTCCAGCTCAAGATTCATTACTCCCTACTCTGGGTTTTATCGGCTGGTACAGGTTGGGGGTGGGCAGCCCAGCAGTTGCTATGAGGGTTGTGCAGTGTATACAGAGCGGTGGCTGCTGGCTGCACAAAATCTCCAGGTGCACAGAAGATTCGCTTTTTACTCCCATCTGCCAGAGATCCACCAGCTGATCATGCAGTAGGACCAAAGGCTGTTGGGAGGCTATTGAGCGCCATTAAGTGCAGTCCTTCAGAACTTTGGCCTTGGATGCAAGGGGAAGGAGGGAGATGGAGAAGGAGAGGGAGGGGTGGTGGAGGGTGCTGTTTTTCTGTTGCCTTGCCTTTAGTGCGTTCTGATCGTGATCGTGACCAGGAAGCTGCCAGGTGTCAGACTCCGAAGGGAAGGGACTGCAGGTTATCATACAAAGAATGTTGAGTTTGCAAACAGAAGACCTGAATTCATGTCCCAGCCTTATCATTTACTGAGTTATCTTGCACAAGTCACTTAACCCCTCTGAGTCATTTCCTCATTCCTAAAATGGGGATTGATGATGTTAAAAGGCTAGATGTGTAAGAAAATGCTGCTGTAGACTATAAAGCTCTTTAGAGAGAATAGTGGATCGGGATGTTACTGCTTTATTGTTATTTCTTTTATGAGCAGGGCAATTTTTTTTTCCTCTATGGTAGAAATGATACAGGCTTAGAGTTTGCATTTTCAAATTCCCTGGAGATGATGCTCTAGAAGCAGTGGAGTGTAAATAAAGCCTAGCACGTGGACCTGGTGCACAGATATCTGAAACAGGTGTTAGGGAGGCCTGCTTTTTGCTGCTTGGTCTTATCTTAGACGCCTCTGTCTTAACTCTGCTTTTTTGGGAAGACCAGGCTGCTGCCTGCCAGATGAGGTCATAGAATTCCATGGGCTTGCCAGGGGCCAGGAACTGGGAATTCAGAGGCTGTGGCTGGGAAGGGTGAGGGTTGGTAGGGTGGTGCACACGTGAGGGCCAGGGAACAGCCTCCCTGATGGCTCTGCCTGTTTCACGACTGGCTTGTTAGGATTAAGGTTGCTCTGACCCTCAGTGCCCAACTTACCCCAGACACCAGGCCACAGGAGCCTCTGACCAGGCCACAGGGCAGAGTAAGAAAATCTTTGTAGGCCTGGAGAGTTTTTCTTTCTTAACTTTTGTGCTATGCTGATTTAGACATACTCATCTCCAAGGAACCTTAGCGCTTTGGAGATGGGTTTGATATCTCAACATACCCAATTGAGATGATCTATGGATGCTGACAGTGAAAGCATTTTGACTGTCTATATTAGGAACTGTACAAAATGACCATGCCCTTTGATTCAGTAATTTTACCTCAGGGACTTCAACCCAAGGAAATAATTTGAATGGCAGAAGAAGCCTGTACTCAGAGATATATTGATTATGATATCAGGGGTGGGGGCATTAGCAGAATGTAAATCTTTCTAGAATTTAAGCTCCATGGTGTAGGGACTTTTGGGGTTCACTGTTTAGCTCTAGCTCTTAAAGCGTTGTCTAACAACAGAAGTCCAGGAGACATTTTTTGAACGGTCATATGAAAAAAAATACATCTATATATGACTATTATTCAGCCATTTCCAATAAAGAAGTCTCAGTGATATTGGACATTTTCTTTGTTGACAGAATGTGAAAAAGCAAGATAAAGATTTTTATATATAGTAAAATCACAGTTTTCTTCTTAAATAGAAGAAAAAAGTAAGGAGGAAATACTCAAGTATATCTTTACATGGTGAGATCATGGGTGACTTTCTTTCTGTGTTTTTTTTTTTTTTTCTGAGTTGGAGTCTCACTCTGTCACCCAGGCTGGAGGGCAGTGACATGCTCCTAGCCACCACAGCCTTGACCTATTGGGCTCAGGTGATACTTCCATCTCAGCCTTCCAAGTAGCTGGAACTACAGGCATGTGCCACCATGCTCGACTAATTTTTTGATTTATTGTAGAGACGAGGTCTCGCCAAATTGCGCAGGCTGGTCTGGAACCCACGGGCTCAGGCAATCCTCTTGCCTAGGTCTCCCAAAGTGCTGGGATTATAAGTGTGAGCCACCATACCCGACTTCTTTCTGTATTTCTAAACTGTCTAAAATAACTTTTATTTTGAAAAAATTCTAAGTAAGTTGTATTCTTTTTAAAAGAAGGAGGTTACTTTAGTTTATTTGTGGAGCAAACCAGCCAGCCAGCTCCTCCTCTTTCTCAGAGAATCAGGCAGCCTTTGTCGATGCACAAAACACCTACACACTTTGGTTGTGTCTGTCAACTTGGCGTGGAAGCTGATCCCTCCTAGCTTCAAAAGGGTGATAGAAACCCCACAGTGTTGAAATTGTGCAGGTCATGTTGCAGAGACATGCCCATACATTTATATCCCATCATTGAAGTGAAGACATTCAGTAGTAGGGAGAAGAATTTTAAGAAGATAGAATTTTCTGGGTGGGTGGTTAATTCTTAGAATTCTTTTGCTGGTTCATGGTTTTGGAAGCTGTTGAAAGTATCGTCTGCTTTCCTTCATTCTTGTTTTAGCTCGTGCTATCTTATAGTACCTTTTTTTTCTGGCGTCTCAGTGTGTTGGAATAAGTACTTTATGGAATGTCTCTCCAAGATGCAGTGTTCTCTTGGAGCCAAGATCTCCTTAAAATTAAAATCCCTGAGCTGGTGGCAAAGGTCTGGCAGGTTAGGTGTATCTTAGAGGAAAGGACCACTTTTTCCACCCTGTGAGGAGTCTTTGATGAGCGGGTCCCCAGACATTGCTGACCTGTTGTTATGTCTATGTGCCTTCTAGTCACATGACTTCTCATCCTTCATGTCTCTTTCTTTTTAGCCATAACCAGCAGACCACTGCATTCAGGCATCCTGTGACTGGGCAGTTTTCTCCGGAAAATAGTGAATTCATTCTTCAAGAAGAGTAAGTATCTTTATGTTTTCTTCTCCTCCAGGCAGAGTTTGGGAGTTTAAAGGCATTTGACCAAAGCAAAACTTTCTGGACTATTTTCTGTCTCAGAGCAGCTTGGTTAATTCAAAGTGAAATGCAAGAATTTAATTTTTCAGTCTCCAGACTTCTCTCGGTGGGAAGATATGGAAGAGGAAAGATGATACAGGAATGTGGTGTGATGGGTATTGTCAGATCCTCTTAAAGGTTTCCTTTCTCCTGATACATCCTCGAACACATTGGCTGTGCTCTCAAAGGACCCACTCATCTGACTGAAATATAGCCTTGGGTTAAACCAGGCATAGTGGTGTGCACCTGTAGTCCAGCTATCCAAGAGGCTGAGGCTGGAGGATGGATTAAGTACAGCAGTTTGAGGCTAAAAGGGTGTGTGTGTGTGTGTGTGTGTGTGTGTGTGTGTGTTTGGGTCTGTGTCTGTGTCCTCACACTGGGCTGAACCAACCTCCCAGCAAAACCTCAATAAGAGTCCAAAACCAGGGCTTAGAAGAGAGGAGAGCTAGTAATACTTGTTGTTCCTAAACACCAAGTTCTTTCTCTTCTGTTTTCCTAACACAAGAACTTTCCTGCTCCTCAGCTCAGTTTCAGCAGGGCCTGTTGGGTGCTCAGAGGCAGGTTCTACCACTCAGGACTTGTCTACTTAAAACTGCACATGCAGCCCAAGCCGGATGTGTTCTTCTTTCAAAAATGGAGGCAAGAAATGTGCGCAAGTAGCTCTGCCTCCTTCTGCTTACCAGAGACATTCTGTTTGAAGAAAACATTTCTGTTTGAGAGGCTAATAAAGAGATGTTCACTTTAAGGTTTTTTTCCTCCTTTTTCTTCAAATCATTTTTCCTCTGTTGAGTCACTTAGACCAAATACGATCTTAAAATAAATGATCAGTAGTTATGTTTTTATGGCATTGCCCCTCCCCGCAGTACTTACATCTTGAAACCTTTTATTATGGAAAACTTTTAACACATCAAAAGTAGAGAGATAAGGTAATAAGTGCAATATACTCATTGCCCATTTTCAACAATTTCCAAAACATGGCTAATTTTATTTAATCTCTTTCCTTCCGCTCATCCCCCTGGATTATTTTGAAGCAAATTCCAAACATATCATTTTATCTCTCTCTTATTTTCAGCTTAGAATCAAGATCCTACAGTACATTTAAAACTAGGAATCTGTAATTATGGCAAAACTGACATTCCTCATGTGCTTGTTCTGTGCCAGAGGCTTTACACGCGTGTCTCATTTAAAAGGTAGTCCCGAGAGGTAGACCATCATCACCATTTTAGAGATGAAGAAACTGAGAGTCGAAGAAGTACAGTCACTTGCCCAAAGTCACATGGCTCCAAGTAGAGAGCCAGGATGCCAACCCATTCGAGGCAGGCTTTAAGGACGGTGCTGTTCCTTTACCAAGTCCAACCCCTGCCAGAGTCAGAGCCGCTTGCTAAGATATGGTGGCGCTGGTGGTCCATGGACATGATGGCCAGAGACTGAGCTTGAGGGTCTGACTCTGGAAGCACTCTGGAGTCTACCAGGGCCTAACTCCTGCGTAGAGAGAGGGAGTAGAAGGTAAAGATAGTCTTGTCTCCTAGACTGAAAAGGAACTGTTGTGTAAAGGCAGAGATGGAATGTGGATTCTCCAAATTCCAGCTCGGGATGCATTTGTTTATAGAATCCTGAAGGTCAGAAGCTATTGGGAGGACACTGAGTTCAGTCCTGAGAAGTCTTGGAGACATGGTCACCCGTCGTTATTATGATCTGGATGGAGAATCCCTGAGAACTGTTAGCTTGGGAAGTTACCAGCTTCAACAAGAGCTGCTAGAAAACACAGACTTCCATCTCTAAATACTTCTGTTGCACACACTTCTTTTTCTTCTCATTCTTAACAAAAGATTTTGTCCCTGACTCCTTGTGAGAAGGTGGCCTCTTTCCTACTACCAAAATATCTCTGGAATTAATCTCGATTCCATTCAGTTGCCAAGGAAAAAAATGTTTCTTCTTTCAAAGGGTCACCTTTTGCCAGGTGCGGTGGCTCGCACCTGTAATCCCAGCGCTTTGGGAGGCTGGGGTGAGAGGATTGCCTGAGCTCACGGATTCAAAACTAGCCTGGGCAACGTGGTGAGACCTCATTTCTATAATAAATCAAAAAATTTGGCCGGGCTCGGTGGCTCAGCCTGTAATCCTATCACTTTGGGAGGCTGAGGCAAGTGGATTGCCTGAGTCCGTGGGTTCGAGACCCACCCAGGCAACTTGGTGAGCCCTTTTCTCTCCAATAAATCAAAAAATTACCCGGGCGAGGTAGCGCACGTCTGTAGTTCCAGCTACTTGAAAGGCTGAGGCGGAAGGATCGCTGGAACCCAGCAGGTCGAGGCTGCGGTGGCCAGGAGCATGCCACTGCACTCCAGTCTGGGCGACAGAGTGAGACCCCAACTAAAAAAATAATAAAAATAATAAAAAAATTAGCCGGTTGTGGTGGCACCTGTTTGTAGTTCTGGCTACTTGGAAGACTGAGTCAGAAGGATCACCTGAACCCAGCAATTCAAGGCTGCAGTGGTCGTGAGTGTGCCACTGCACTCCAGCCTGGGTGACTCCAACTCAAAAAAATAAATACATAAAAAGGATCACCTTTTCCCTCTAGATTCCATTTCCTGGATGTCATGGGAGTACTTGCCTGTCTCAGGTGGCACTGTGGGCCCAGACATTCCTTACAACAAACAGAATGTGCTTTTAGGCATTGAGAGGAAGGGAGGATTCCTTTGAACTGACGTGACCATTAGATGCACTTACCCATTAGATATCTCGTGAGTGCCTACATTGTGTCTGGGTCTGTGCTGGACTTGCCAGGTACAGGAATAAGCAAAATACAGGTGGTCCTGGTAGTGAGGAGCGTGTGGGTGAATAAGGAAGATGCCTTCCTTTGGGCATTATTGGTGTGAACAGTGGAGCATTTGCTCCACTGTTGCCAGGTGGGACTCACCTGAGCTGCTTTGGAATAATTGGTGCATGGGCCACCAAAGATGGTTTCTCATTGTACAAGTTAAAGACATAGAGACAAATAACGAGAAACCTGTTATCTGATGGGTCCAGAGGACATGAGCTCTGAGTGCTCTAGTTCCCATGTCAGTAATACAGAATCAGTCAGGATAGGTTAGGATCTGCTGTGGTAAAAAGATCACTCATGTGGTAAATAGAGGAAGCATAGTGTTCAGTGGGGGTTGATAAAGAGGACTCCACCCTGGTGTAGGGACCAAGGCCTCCCCAGCTGAGATCTGTTCAGTGGAGGTGAATATTCTGGGCAAAGACCTAGAGGGGAAAGAGGTGAACGCATGGGGGATCTCCACCAGCAGAGGAAAAAATGAAGAGCACTGGATGGTTCCTGGAGTACTTGGGAGGCAAAATTGACAGGATCTGGTGATTGATTGACTATGATGGGGTTAGGAGTCCGGCCCTGAACTGGAGGAAGCTGGAGGATTTAGATAAGGGAAGATAAGTGTGTGCATCCACGTGTCCACAGATGTAGGGGTCCTTCACAGCTGAGAGGAGTGTAGCCAGCCTTGGTCGGGTCAGAGGGCAAGAAGACTGACTTATAGCAGAGGTCTGTAAAGGAGAGTATGGAGATAAGGTTGGAGAGGGAGGCTGCTGCCAATTACCTAAATTGCTTCCTCCCTTTTTTTTTTTTTTTTTTTGAGTTGGCGTCTCACTCTGTCACCCAGGCTGGAGTGCAGAGGCACGCTCATGGCCACTGCAACCTGGACCTGCTGGGCTCAGGTGATCCTTCCGCCTCAGCCTTCCAAGTGGAGCTATAGGCATGAGCCACCATGCCCAGCTAATTTTTTAAGTTTCTTGTAGAGACGAGGTCTCGCTATGTTGCCAGGCTGGTCTTGAACCCCTGGGCTCAGGCAATCCTCTGTCTTCAACCTCCCAAAGAGTTGGGATTACAGGTGTGAGCCACTGCACCCAGCAATTGCTTCCTCATAAATGAAATACACCCTCACAGCAAACTTTTTTAAAAAAAATTATGCCAATGAGTGAGATTCCTGTTTTGCTTCCTTAGAGGAGCTTAGTTTTGATGTGTAGTATGTCGTTTCAGGTGAACGTCTTGGGTAGAAAAAGGAAAATGGAATCTTTTCTTTCTCCATAGAGGACCTGGTACAGCCAAGCACTGGGGAGTTGTAACCATTTTTGTCCCCTCTTGCCAGTGCCTCCACCCTGGTCTCTTGGAGCGAATCCTTCTGAACCAGTGGTTCTCATAGCGTAGGCTCTGAACCATCCTCACCTGGGAACCTGGTGGAAATGCAGATTCTTGGATCCCATCCCAGCCCTACTGAATCAGTGACACTGAAGTGGGGCCCAGTAATCTGTGTTTTAACAGGTCTGGATAGGTGTGGTGGCTCAAGCAAGACTGTAATTCCAGCACTTTGGGAGGCTGAGGTAAGAGGATTACCTGAGCCTACGGGTTCAAGACCAGCTTGGGCAAATTGGCGAGACATCATCTCTACAATAAATAAAAAATTAACTGGGCATGGTAGCACATGCCTGTTGTTTTGGATACTTGGAAGGCTGAGGTGGAAGGATCACCTGAGCCCAACAGGTCAACGCTGGGTGGCCATGAGCATGCCACTGCACTCCAGCCTGGGTGACGGAGTGAGACTCCAACTTAAAAAAAAAAAAAAAATCAAGCCTTCCAGGTGACTTTGATGCAAGTTAAGGTTTCAGCACCACTGATTTAGACAGTGTGCTATTCCCGTCCCTCCTAACTCACTCCCAAGTTCTTTTCTTTCCCCTTGTGTCTTCTAGATACCCATCATTCTCTGGGCTACAGTGACCATTAGGTAGATTTTAGTCAAGTAATCTTAGATTCCTTCTTCTGTGGGAAGAAAATAAAATTGTAAACAGCCTATCTCCATGTTGACTTCTCTTAGGGCATTATGGGTTGAACAGATACATCTGCTCCACTGTTGACAGGTAGG